GACACAAGAAATAGACAGTTGGTAAATTTTGCAAAAGTAAAAATAAGATGTTTACTTCTTGGCACTTGGTTACCAGAAAACGCGCTCATCTCTTAGCAACAGAATAACAACAAATATTGGTATTGTTCAAAATACATAATATTTCTTCTGCTCTTTTGAAATACTGCTTATCTTACACAACTACTTAACAAGAATTACTTAACAAGAATTGTGCAGTTGGTGAATTCTGCAGAAAAGTGATTTTTTTTTTTTTTTGACATTGGTGTTGAATATATTATAAAACCGACATTCAACACATAAGTAAAAATCTGATTTATACTTCGAGGCAATTCGTTTGCAGAAAATAAATAATCTCTTAACAGCAAATTAATTATTGTTAATAAAACATAAGCTCTTTTGAAATATTGCTCATCTGCTTAGACACAAGAAATAGACAGTTGGTAAATTTTGCAAAAGTAAAAATCAGATGTGTACTTCGTGTCACTTGGTTACCAAAAAACATGATCGTATCCTAGCAACAGATTAACAACAAATTTTGGTATTGTTCAAAAAATATAAGATTACTCCTGCTATTTTGAAATACAGCTTATCCTATACTACTTATCAAGAACTGTGCAGTTGGTGAGTTTTGCAGAAAAGTGAAAATGTTTTTTTTCTTTTTTTTGTTATTGCTGGTGAATAAAACAGACTTTCAACACAAAGGTAAAAATCTGACTTATACTTTGTGGCAGTTCGTTAGCAGAAAAAAAAAGCTCATCTTTTAACACCAAATTAATAACAAATAATATTGTTTATAAAGCAGAAGCTCTTTAGAAATACTGCTACTCTTACACAAGTACTTAAAGAATGCTTTTTAAATAAATATTTTAATAAAGTTTACCCCAAATAGCAAAAGCTACAACAAGTTATCCATTAAAGTTTAGATTTCTGAAAATCTCAAATACTTTTAGCCTGCAGTACTTGTGAAATTTCCATTGTGTTGTAAAATTAAACAGCATCGTTACATAATAATAAACTGTCTTATTTGTTCTTGGGTTCTCTAAGTAACTCTTCCATAATTTCTAGAGTGCCCACTTTCACAAGTTCCAAGATCCTCACGGTCTGCCTTTTTTGTACTGTTCCCTGAGTTAGATTTAGCATGCAGCAGTGTTTTTCTCAGCAGCAGCTGTTGCAGATGAAAAGAATTGCTGACACTACAGTATAGAACTACTTGGAATTCATAATCATAACTTTTTCTGTAATGCTACAAGTTGGAAAAGCTGAACAGAAGCTAACTTACTTTGTCTAAGAGTATAAATTGATATCAGCGTTCTGTACATAAACCATCTACTTAGCAAGTCAAAACAGTAATTGAGGATACATACAAGGCAGCCAATGATTGGCGAATCAGGGAAACTGGGAAAGACTGGGACCAGTTTTAAATAATTAGATAAGGTGTTTGTCCATGTGAGCAATTGCAAAACATTGTCTGGCTTTTATGTTGCTTCCTCACTCGTTGTAATGGCTTCTATCACAATGAGTGGCCTTTGAGCCCATGTAGTAAAATATTAGTTTCACTGGGGATAATTTTGTCTTAGCAGCTTCAGCCAGCAGTAGATACCAAAACAGCAGTACGTACGCAAAACATTTGCTCATCATCAGAAAGTTAAAAAAAATTGGGAAGAAAATGTGATTATTTATCACTCCCAATGTAATTGATTAAACCTGAACCACACTGTGAGTGCAGTTTTTGCATCTTTATATAGCATGTCTGAACTGCGGGTGCAAGCTGGCAAGCAAAAATGTCTGTGATAAGCATGGTGAAAAGCAAGCGTAGATACAAAGACAGAAGACATTGCTTGTCAGATATTTGGAACATAAGAATATAAGGTAAAGATAATGTAGATAAAATATCTTCCAACAATGCTGCAGAATTAATAAGTAATTACAGCCTAACCTCACTTTACTGCAGCATAACACCATTAGGTCTGGATGACTTGCAGCAGTGCATCTATGTAGCCCAGAAAAAGTGATGCTGATTATAATTATCTGCTGCATGTTCCGCAAATTGTGCAGGCAAAATATGTTTTCATGGGATAGATTAATGCTGTCGGACAGTAGACAATATTTATGCAATTAAACCAAAATGAAAAACACCACAAATATTGTGATTAGGAAACAAACCTGAACATGAACAGCCACCAGAGACAATAACACCATCGGGGAACCCAAGGGATATTAAAGGTAAAACAAATAAAAGGAAATGTCCTCTGCACAAGAACATTTTCCAACCTCAGTGTTGTAATAAGTTATTATGCAAGTAAGTAATATACTTTTTTTCAAATTGACAAAGTAAGATTAAAAGTAATACTGGGCTGACTGAGTTGGAGAATGCATGGCTAGTGGGAGACGGAGTGCCAGAAGTTGCATGCCGATGTCAATTTTTTTTGTTGTTGTTGTTCATGCAATTTAGCACTTCTTATTTGGAATTTTTGTGGATCAGGCAGTTAGTGTATGCAAGCATCTGACATTAATGGATGACTGTGTACAATGTTATTCATTTATTTTCTATACTTAGAGATCTGAAGAATCGGGCTTAAAGGTTTATAATGAGTCCCACCCATGACCTGTTAAGAGGTGAAAAAATATGGCTAATTGTGTTAAAATTGGCTCTATACCAAGACTCTCCACTCAAGTCTTCCACTCTACTACAACCTTCGGATGCATCTCTGTTCTAACACACCAGAACAAAATGCACAAATAACCTACTAAACATGTCATGAAGGTTGGCCTGGTAATGACCCATAATTTTGATTCAGATGAGCTGGACTGGAAATGTATCAAAAAGTTGCAGGACTTTGGCTCTGTAGTACTGGATTCCTGGCATACACCATTTGATCACTGAAGTGACTTTTTTTTTTTTTGTTAACTAATCTCTATGCCACAGCAGACTGCAGCACTTGAATTAAAAATGTGTCACAGTCTTTATATTCTGCATATTCAATACATAGTTAACTAAACTATTCCTATGTGTAAGAGCTTTAAAAACTTGTCCTGCAGAAATACACTCATTTTTATTTGGCAAATTAGCTAGAAATATGTCACAATAGTATTGCTGCATTATATGTTATTATTGGGACTCTGGTAAAAAATAATTGACTAAGATGGAAAAGGATCTTGATTTCAAGCACCAACCACTATAATTACTCCTATTAGAAATTATTTTTGTATGATCACAAAACCAGGACGCCAGTGTTAATGTTTTACAGTGACTCATCTGCTCTTAATGAGCTACATTGTAAGTCAAGGTAATCCTAATTGAAGCACTTTGGTTGAGACCACTGCTAATGATGCTGGCAACAGTGAGAGAGGTGCCACTCTCTCACTGCTGAGAGAGAGGGAGAAAGGGGGAGAGAGAGAGGGACAGAGAGCGCAACCGAGCTAAACTTCAGTATGTAAAGCATCAAGCTAATGATCTATTTGATATGGAAAATGGATGACACTGTCGTCACTGCCAGTGTCACATATGAGCAATTAACCGGATTGATTAAAGTTGTTAAGGCCACAAGTGCTTTGGTGATAGAGTGATTCCATCAAGGCCAGAATTTTGAGGTTCTTTGTGATATCAGCAGGAGAGACACAGTGCAAATACTGTGCTTCTGAAAGCAAAACCCTCCACACACAAATCCATGGAGGTCATAGATGCTGCAAAACATAAATAACACCTTGAGTTTAGTCTGCTAAATAGGGACCAGAGGACACAGTTTTGAATGTAAGTATATTAGTGTCTTAGAAAAAAAATAATAACATGCACAAATATAAAATATTTACAGTATTTTTTTTTCCTCTCTTCTTTCTCTTTTCCAATCACCCAAAGGTCAATTTGCAAAATTGGCGTTCCACATGCAGATATTCTATTCTTGGAGCTTGAATATTTTGTATGGTGCTCCCCCTTTTCAAAGGACAAGGCTTGAGCATGTATTAGTCCACTGAGCACTTTGTACTAGTCCAAAGTCAATGATAGCCCGCTATCATTGACTTTGAGACACTTTCCATCAAGGTGCTTCAAGACCAGTCAGTGAAAAAAAAATAAAGAAAAGATGAGTAAAATTGCCACCATTCTTGCCCACCCAGGAAATCATCTGTTTAAGAAATATTTCTCCGAGAAACTGATTAGGTCCATTAACACCATCACTACACATCAACTGAAAAGACTGTTACCCCTGTTCACCTTACTTAACCTACCTAAGTCTACCAAAAAAAAAAAAAAAAGATAAAAAACATAAAATATCTGCAAATTAGGTTCAGTCTTTGCAGCTTCCTGGAAGTCTGTCAGAGCCTCTTATTCTTATTTCCCCAGTTCTCATTAACTTTCTGACTTGCAAATTTTACCACCCAATAAATAAATAAAATCAAGAAAATTAAAAAAAAACAATAGGTATTTTATATTCTCATATTGCCAGACTGCATAAATTCACTTCATATAACGTTTCCTTGTTTATTTTTTGTCACTTTTGAAAAAGATTCATTCATCCGTCCGTCCTGAACTCCAAGAGCTCCCTAACATCCCTAGTGATTGATGCTTGCGCTCAGGCTGGGTGTGCTTGATTGTTCATTGTATCATCATAATGGGAGTTTTTTAGTGTCTTGGAATCCTTGCTGCTAAATGTCAATTTTGATGGAGGAGTATAAGTGTAACCTGCCGTCCTTGTTCCATCCATTTAATGCCAGAGTCGGGCTCAGCATTTAATAATATGGTAAAAATAAATTATGCCCAGTGGTGCAACATTTATTAAATTTATTAAACATTTAACCTTTGTTTTCACAAAACTGCCTGTTAACTCAGACTAAACATTTAGTTTGTGGGTCAGATAATTACGAACGATTATATTGGGGTGAGAGAGAGAGAGATTTGCACATCTTGCTTTGTTGCAAAACATGCAAATCAAAGGACCTTGCAACTGTCTTAGCTGAAGCACAGCATCACTGTAAAACATTGATGGTAAAATGCATCACATTAAGAGAGAAAAAAGCCATTAATCCAAAAACAACTTGAAATACACAAAAAGCTAAAGAAGAAAATCAGTTCCCTCAATGAAGTGTTAAATTAAGCAACTCAAATAAAAAAAATCCAGGGGAATATGCAATACAGCACCTTGGGTTTTATATAGGAGTGAAGAAATAACTCATCTTCCAATCAGTTTTTCTGCTGTACTCCAACTAAAGGGTCCGTTTCTGCAGCTCAACAAATGGTCATCCTACAACCATGTGCAAATACTGAAGTAACATTTCAACACATCTCATCTTCTCATGTTTGAGAAATCCTTGAATCCCTTATGGAAGCCACAAGGAGATGCTTGCTCATATAATGCGCCGCCTATTTAGCCAATGCTCCACCTTGAAGTTTCAGTCTCCAACCTAGATTTCTCCAACACACATGGACGTACAAATACATTTTAAATAACCAGACTAGTTGCAACAGCAATTATCAAACACCTAGTAAAAGAGTGAGTAGGCCTGTCACGATAACAAATTTTGCTGGATGATAAATTGTCCAAGAACTTATTGCGATAAACAATAATATTTTAATATTGTAGCAGTGATAATGGAGTAATGATGCAAGGATCAATAAAGTTTAAATTCTAATGAACATTTAAATACTGGAACTGCAAATATCCAAAATAAATAATAAAGTAAATTATGAAGCCGACAACAAATAAAATGAATTATTAAGTCTTTGTAAACAAAATTATCTTTCAAAAAAGGGATAGTTGAGACCAAAGCACCAGACTGAAGACTTTTATCACTACATT